CAAAGTAGCAATATTATATTACTTTGCCTCACTTTCCATTTTTATAAATTTAGGAATTAATATCTACGCTATTGGTTATTAACCACACACTTGCCAATTCATGCACAACTCAAAACTAGTTTCCCCAAATATTTTCTTCATATTGCCTTTATCCATTTTGTAGTGTTGTAGTTATCAACAAACATTACAGAAAACAAAATAATGATTTACTGTTCTCCTGCTCAACTGGCTAACATCAACAGACTAGGAAACCCTGTTAAAACTTCATACTGACATTTTCCTTAAATGTAACAGGCATATGTCTGAAGTGAACTAACACAATTAAATGTGCACACTGATTTCTAACACTGAATGTCATGGGCACGGTGCACGGACCCATACCCGTATGAGTGAGGCTGTGTCTCGCCAGGTGGTAACGCTGAAAAAACTTCATGTCACACATGGTGCAAGCATAAGGTTTCACACCTAAACGCAGAGCATCAAGAGAATTATTTTTGTCTCTCTGCCACCGAGAGAAAATAAATATATCTGCACTCTCTTTTATAACTTGAGCACCAATCTGGACTAAATTGATATCGGTGGTTAATAACCAATTTTATACCCTAAAATGACTTACAAGGGTACAATATAATGTAATATAATAAGATGCTTGTTTCAAATTCAGATCTAAAATCCACTTACAAAACACAACACATGATTATGATGTCATCTATTTGACATTAAACTTGAATAATTTGTGTAAAAAAATAAAATAAATAATACAGATATTTATGACTAGATCAAGCATACAGATGTTGCAGCATCCTAATCTTGTGACTGGGTTAAGATTGGCAGACGCATACCCATATGAGTGAGGCTGTGTCTCGCCAGGTGGTAGCGCTGAAAAAACCTCTTGTCACACATGGTGCAAGCATAAGGTTTCACACCTAAATGCAAAGTAGCAATATTATATTACTTNNCCTCTTGTCACACATGGTGCAAGCGTACGGCTTCACCCCTATACACACAAAGTACCAACTTTAGCATAAAACACTCAACTGCCAAAAATGATCGACATTAAACTTTACTAATTGCTTAGTAAAGTTCGGTTGCACTTATCAGCGCTTTGTTTACACTGGAAATTCCAGCATACTTCAAAAACATGCTGTTCCAATTGGAAATTCATTTCACATCTGATTTAAGGTGAACTGTAACTGTTGATGGTCGATGACCAAAGTTTAAATTAGAAGAATTGAGGGATAATGAAAATATCCTGTATAAAAAGCTAAATTGTTTAATCTTTAAACCTAAAAGCATAAATGACCACACAATTGTTTGAGGTGAAACCAAAGTCCCTAGTGGGCACATTCCAACTAGCTCAATATGTTTTTCACACTATGCCAATAGGTGCTTGTGTTCGTATAATTTCAACCTACCGCACGTTTTGTGAACGCAAATACTTGAAATTTTTGTAACGCTGATCGCAGAGATTAGACAATTTTAGGCAGTTGGTAAACAACTATGCATAACACATTAAGATTGGACATTCGTTTGCAGAGCAACTCTTTAACTTAAACGGAAACTGCTCTAAAAACCATCATACAAAACTTATCTGTATCTGATTACCAGAATCTTATGATTTAAGCAAAAAATAAAACATTATCTCTGCTTTCTCTTCACATTTAAAAATGACTGTAAAAGCAGACTGACAAAATAAAGAATACCCTTACACAAAACTTGTTTTCAAATATGATACACAATTAAACTAAATTATTTATGCCACACGATTATATGTTATTTCCTCACCATTGCTTTGAATGTGAAATGACACAATAACTAAGCTGTGTGAGCAGTCAGCTCTAAATTTGCAGGTTTTCATTTTTTATAGGAAAAACAAAACAAAAAAACACTGAATTTTAGCCTAAATATAATCCATTTCACATCAACTGAGACCCCAGTGTCTCTTCCCCCACCGGTCTATGCACCCCAGCAGGCCACATTACCAACACATACCCCTTAATTGAGAATTTGATAATAATTTCCACACCTGTTACAAAATAAACAATAATATCTAACAACAACATTTAATGTCTGTGTCATTACCTGGAAAATCCTTGAGTCCTATATAATGGAACCTGCAGCCAATCTGGTTCCTGTTTATCTTTAGTTGTGCAAATGTTAATCTAGAATTGATCAGCTGTAGACAGTCACACTCCAGTGGCTGCTTCACAATAAACACTTTGCAGTTTTGGAAACTTTCCTCTCTTGACTTGAATTGGATCAATAGTTTCTATGAAAGATTTTAGTCTGATCTTCTCAGCCTATTTGCATTTCATGAATTAATGAAAATCTAGCTTTTCTGCAAGACAAAAAAAAATCATGATTCATGTATGTGCTTTTTTTTTTTCCTTTTTCAGTTTTGTTTTTCTCAAGACAGATTCAGTCTTGTATATGCTGTATTTTGTCAAAGTCAAATTTCTAATTACAGCTGAGCTTATCCAAATAGAAAACAGTCTGAACTCTTTTTTAGCATCTAAAACATCAAATATATATCTAACATCTAGAAACTGACACATTTTTTAAGCAAAATATGTAAATAAAGTACCTCAAACCAAAGAGTGGTGCTGGCATTTTTGCTTCATGGTCATAGTGTCATTTCATATACAAAGTATGGGCAGAGGTATTGTTATGCAAGAGCTTATGAGGCTACTTGCAGACGGTACATGAAACATTAGCACTTGTCAATATAGTGATAGAAAGCAATACAAACTCGAGTTTGAAGCAGCCATGTATACATTCATTTGCAGCGCATGCATGACCGAAGTCAGGGAAAGAGAGGGTCAAGGTTAAAAAAATGAGGACGTACCCGTATGAGTAAGACTGTGTCTCTCCAGTTGGTAACGTTGTATAAACCTCATGTCACACATGGTACAAGCATACGGCTTCACCCCTAAACAGAGCACAAGAATGTTAGATGCATTTCAACGCACAGATGAAATTCATGAACACCAACATTTTAAAAGACATTATGAAAAGCTTTGAAAAGCTTCTAGTTGTTAATTATTGCATGCTTTACAGACAAAACTCTGTTAAGAGACATTACACAAAAAAGAGTCTAAGAATCTGCAGACGTCAAGAGTTACGGTGCATCAATTAAAGAGAAACAGGGCTTACATGTTGCAGTTTGGAACAGCTTGAGTAATATTCAGTCATCTGCAAACAAACTGTTGATCGTGGTGAAAAACCCCCATTTTAACTTCATGTTGAAGATTATTCATGTTACCCCGTGTTCAAGATGCACCATTTCATTGTCAAACCAAACAATCTTGTATTGGCCTGATAAAAATCTTGAGAAATGTAGCCTTGACATTTTAGACTATTGATGCCTGCATTTAAAATGCTTTTTAGTGTAATGTGCCTTTCACTGGATATGTAATACAGTACTTTAACAACACACATGCAATAGTACCATTACAATAATCACACAAAACAAGGTAACTGACAGAGTCACTTTTTCAGTGGACAGTTTTCCAACAAAGCCTAAAAATTCTATTAAACATTTGTTTTTAGAAGGGGAAATGTCTACCAACAATGGCATAATTATGGTATTGTATATAGAGGGACTTAGAAAATCATGTGTAGGTTGTTTATATGAAAGGTTTCATAGTGAAAGGGGAACAATTAATTCAAGCATACCAGTATGAGTGAGGCTGTGTCTTGCCAAATGGTAACGCTGGAAGAACCTCATGTCACACATGGAGCAAGCGTATGGCTTCACCCCTAAACGCACACAGTACCAAACTTTAGAAAATGTTCTCATGAACTATGTACACAAAATATGTCATTTTACATACAGTAGTCAGTGTTATGTCATTAGAAGGTCTCATGTATTTTCCTGGCCAACTAGTCTCTATACATACCAAGACATAGAAAGAGTCAGGTCAACCCTAAAAGCAGTTATTAAATACAATGAGTACACCAGAGAAGAAAAGACAAAATCTACAAGTGCTTAAACTTTAACCTTTCATAATTAAGAATGTGGATTGAGTAGAACATATTAGAATTTGCTTTGTGTAGTACTCTCACAGGTAGGTTAGGATGCTTACACACAAGGGCAAACATCTACAGCCCCTGCTACTGTCAAGTGAGAGGGATAATTAAAACTTATACCCGTATGGGTGAGAGTGTGTCTTGCCAGGTGGTATCTCTGGAAAAATCTCATGTCACACATGGAGCAAGCATATGGCTTCACCCCTGCACACACAGAGCAAAATATTTTGTAAAAACAACACAATTAACTGAACAGGACACACTCACTTATATTATGTATCCAGACATGCCACAAGCAGTGGTACCAGTATGATGTAACAGTAAATCAATTTCCATTTTCTATTCTGAGTGAACATGCGTGAAAAAGGGACCTCAATGAAAACTTATTTTTGCTGATCCCAGTGCAGCTTTTTAATGCTGACATGCATTGCAAAGGTCTTAAAAGTGTTTAGACACAAGTCAAGGTGTAATTTACAGGCACTGCAGTGATGTTCCAATAGAGGTAGCTTGGGAAATATTCTCAAAAATAGTGCCTTAAAGGTTTAAGGTGGACAGTCAAGACTGATTGATGATCATGAATATTTTAAATACCTGACTAAAAGTCATATAAACAAAAGACAGATAAACTTCAGTAAACTGGGTATTTGGGCTCTAATGAAGCAAAGAAGGGTGAACCCATACCCGTGTGAGTGAGGCTGTGTCTTGCCAAGTGGTAGCGTTGGAAAAATCTCATGTCACACATGGAGCAAGCGTATGGCTTCACCCCTACACACATGAAAAGTATGTAAATATAAAGTAGAAACAGAAAAAAAAAAGTTTAAACACATAACCATCAACTCTTCCCTTAGAATAGCTCCTTTTGCTTCTACACATTATACCATCAGCCTGAGAAATAAATGTTTTGTTTTGCATTCCATGGTTATGTGTATTGTGACACCAAGTCAGTCACTTAAGTTAAACAAAAAATCTTAAAAATTAGAGGAGTAACAAAGAAAAATTGCGCAGAACAAAGTAGAGCATTCAGCAGGGGAAAAGCTGAAGTTGTGTACATTCAGGTGCCCCACTATGTATATACGTATTTTTACCAAGAGCTAAAAATGGTATGTTTTATATTTTACCATCCTAATACATGTCTGGATACATTTTTATGTTTCTGAATATGAGAATATTTGAAGCTATTCATTTTAAGTCATTTTAAAACCCCCTAAATCTGTTACTACACTGCTATGAGATGAAAAGTTAAGGCACTTCTAAAACCCACTACCTAATGAGCTAGGGTAAGCAGACGCATACCAGTATGAGTGAGGCTGTGTCTTGCCAGATGGTAACGTTGGAAGAACCTCATGTCACACATGGAGCAAGCGTACGGCTTCACCCCTACATACACAAAGTATCAACATATTAGCTATGACGTTCCTTAAGCATCAAAGGAAAGCATCATTCACAGGCATTAAATCACTAGGACTTGGCAGACATTACACATTCCAATCAAGCTTCATGCGAAGGGGTGATTTGTTTTACTTCTAATTACTAAGTGTCTTCAGGTTTGGAGAGCATTAATTTTCATATTATCTGGAGTACATCATAAAACAAACGCAGCAACAGGATATGAGCCAAGCATGTTTAAAACAAGACATACAAGTCAGCAGCAAGATAGCAAAGAAACGTCTAAGACGGTGATCACACTGGCCAGCTGAAGCAGAACCGTGAGCACACTTATCCACCGCTCACAATTATGAAGGTTTACAAAGAAAATTTTACATTTTGGTGATCACTTATGTTGCAAATTACTGCAAGTTGAAATTTGTTTAATGTCTATACAATGCACATCCGTTCAATTTATGGTGGCACGAAAGTGTGTGTTGTTTTGAAGCGTTACAAGTCTGTTTGTTTTCTAGCACTCCAAAGTGATGATCTGCCTCAACTTTCAAAAGCTTCCAATCTGATCTCCGCCATAAACTTACAGCAGAAGCAACTGCACAACTATACAATCAAATATGAATTTAAAAAGCCAGACAATTACAGCTAATACACATGAGCTGTGCAGCCATTAATCTGCATGTACAATAGGTGTGGACATCAAAGGACTATTCCCATATTATACCATGGCCTCAGTTAATCAGCTACTTCAATATGACTGGATCATACTAGAGGGCATTAACACAAACTGTGAGCCCCTGTAAAATATTAACTTGAGATAAAAACTTAACTTTCTAATAAAGCCAAGATTACTCTACGTTTTACTTTTTCCTTAAGACACTGTGAACAATCACTCCTGTTTCTTAAACTGTGGCCATGATACCATGTCACTTTTGTCAAAAATCCAGACCATGATGGAAAAATCCATTAATAATAAATATTGTTTTTTATTCTCAATTAATACATGATTGGATACGTAAAATGTGTAGAACTAACATAGGCTACTATGTACACAATGTGTGATAACTAACACCTAGCTTATCTCCTCAGCTCTAGAGTGAAGCAGTTTTTTGAGCAGCAATGGTACAAGAGGGATAATACACTTTGAGGGGTCCACAGGAAGTATTTTAGTTCATTTCAGGTGTTTACTTACAACTATTCATACATGCATTACAATAAAAAGCCCATTATTGGATATCTTAAATATCAGGCCATCAACTGTTTTTGTGTTGAACTAGAAAAAGATGTTAATATAATCTGTCCACCAAATTCAACAAAAGATTTATACGTTTCAGTAGCATTTATTGAAGGGCTTTTGTATTAGGTTGCATTATACAAGTTTTACTGTTTATCTGGTATTTCAGTGTTGTTGTTTCTCATCAATGTACTACTGTTATAAGTCTACATTTATAAAAAATGACTGCAATCAAGTGCATCTGATGAAAATCTATGTTAAAGAAACAGTGGCTTATGTCTCCTCCGAACAAATACTTCGATCAGTCACTGGTGTGTTTTTGTAGACTAGTTAAGACCCCTAATATGGGATAATGAATAATCATTTTAAGATATGCAATACTACAGGATTGTCTGTCAGTTGAACATTTAATAAGATCATTTTTCTGATCAACCCCTAAAGTGTTGTTTTGTTATTTATGTGGATGTTCAGACTATGTTTTCGTTCTCAAGCCTCTTGAATAAAAACTATTGATCTCAATGAGACTAACAGGATAAATAAATGTCTTAACTTGAACTGGGTACGGTAAATGGACGCATACCCGTATGAGTGAGTCTGTGTCTCTCCAGGTGGTAACGCTGGAAAAACCTCATGTCACACATGGAACAAGCGTACGGCTTCACCCCTACACACACAGAGCATACAATTATTAGCTATTCAGCCAATCAAATAAGCGAAAATGTGTTAAAATATATATATATAAAATCACAAAATTCATTATGTGGAAAACAGAAAGAACAGATGCAGTGTTGCTACAAAGAACAACTGCTTACTCAAGCCACTGGGATATTGGAATAAAATAATATATATATGTACTGTATTTTATTGGGTAGAGTTGGTTAACATTAGTTTACTATTGATGCATTTCTTGTGGTGAATACTGGGGCAGTAGTCAATGACTTGGAAAAACGATTAGGTTGGAAGTCTGACTTACCCACAGCATACTTCTTAAACAATGAAAAACAAAGAATTTTGTGTGAATGGGTGCAACGCAAATATTGACACTATGCAAATGTTACTTAAGTCCTCAATTTTCATTTTATGTAAACAATTAAGAACATAGTCCTTTGATGTCCATGCAGTTATTCTTACTGACAAAGTAACAATTACATACAAAATGATAAAAAGAAATAAATCTTGCATGTTTGTTTTTTTGCGGCCTGTGCTTGGAGGCTTTCACATACATACACTGGGGTCCACAAGTTTGAGTCCACTTTCAAGTCCACTATCAAAAAGTCTTGTTTACAGAACTGTTTGTCGTCATCATTTAGCGCCATAATTGATATAATTTGTTTTTCTTACTAGTTTCAATAATATCGTAGTTAATACTGATACAAGTAAATATTTTTAGATCCAAGAAATGCACAGAAAAAGATCACAAGAATCATAACATTGAAATAGTAACAACAGTAGCACAAATAATCTTTGTAATACATGGTGAGAATACCATACAAAATGAATGGTCGCCTATGCATCTCTACTGCTAGAGCAAGTTTTACTGTAACATTAACTGGTCTGTTAATATTATTTGAGGAAACCAATTTTGTGGAGCCAAGTGATTCTCTTAGTAAGAAAGTTTCCCAGCACAAATCTGCTTTTAAAGTAAAAGTCCTACAGCGACTGCACACTAATTTTCTGTAGTCAAATCACCCAGACCAAGACATGGCAGACTTTTTAAGAATAAAGCAGCCAGTATGCTTCAACAGAAGTGCTTGTCAGATGGTCGAACAGCGTGGGCGGTCCGATGTTGTCTGTTGTACTTGTGACCACAACCAGCTGTGATAGAACACTGCCCACTAGTGCATAGTGAAGTGTTGTACTGCACAAGGTGTTTACAGAGCATGCAGCAACTGCTAGATGGCAAAACACGCAGGATTAGCCTGGGTGTGGTTACTCCTTTAAGTGACCACAGCATGTGAAGACCAGTGTATCAAGCTGACATCTGTACAGGACCCAACAGCATTTGCATGAACAAAACAAATTCAAATCAACAAAGAACCTCCTATTTGACTCGTTAAAACAATTTTACAACAAAACAAGTCAAAGCAATGGGCCACAAACGGGCACGGGCCAAATAATGTCAGAGTATCACAGCTGAACACAGAAGGAAAGTTGTTTTTACAGACGAATATTTGCAATAACAATCACAGGAGAAGCTAAGTTCTCCCTCCACTGGCACCAGAGATCAACCTCACTTAATATTCTGGAGACAAGAAGAAATGCATCTCCAACATCTCTGGGATCTTCTACAACAGGGCTAAAATAATGTGGATTCTCAAATCCTGCAAACATTTCTACAACTGATGCCAGTCAAAGAAGAAAACAAAACAATTTTATCATAAATATTGAAACAACCGTTTTTAATAGTGGACTCGGGACCATTGGACCGCACTGTATTACATCGCCTTCTGTAAATTTTTCCTGGTGATGGGGAACCAATATTTATAAGACAAATACTGTGCTTTATATTTTGGGGTGAACAGATTTTGGGGGGTGGCTTTGTTGGAAATTACTGTCCACAGACAAAATGAACCCTGAGCATCTGTCCATTGATTCAGTGACAGACTACAGATGTAGTCCGATTTATGGAATATGGGTACGGTTAAAGGACGCATACCCGTGTGAATGAGGCTGTGTCTCTCCAGGTGGTAACGCTGAATAAACCTCATGTCACATACGGCACAAGCATACGGCTTCTCCCCTAAACCGAAGAGCACCAGTTTTAGTTAAAGTCCCCACAGATACCACCAATCAGCTGTGAGGCAAAAGCTATTACCAAACAAGGTTTTTAAGCAGGCCATGGCAAAACCTTACAGTTGCTGCACACTCCTAGATTCAGTCCAACTTAATCTTTTAGGGCCTCTTTCAACAAATGATTCATGTAATCAGGCATTATAAAAAAAAAACTGTTCTGGCTTAACTGTAAAGTCCAGGTGTTCCAAGCGTGACCCATACCTGTATGAATGAGGATATGTCTCTTCAGGTGGTATCCACTCCTAAATGCTCCGTAACAGTGATCACAAATAAAGTTTTTCTGCACTTTGGATGATGGACCATTCTCATCTCCTGTGCCCTGATGAGGACAGTAAAGAATAATGGTTCAACATTTGCTTCAAATGCCAGCTTAAAAGTGCACTAATAATAAAAAGGTACAGTGTATTTTACCACAAACACAATGGCACAATTTGATATAGTACATACCCACCCACAGCTGCTCAGAACCTAAAGAAAATCTAAAACTGCTGTGAAATCGGTATGTGTCGATAAATGTAAGGCGTATGGTTTCTATCGCGCTCTAAAGACGTTGCACACATAAATCTAAATTTTACAGGGATATTTTTAATGGTTTCTCTTTTCTAAAACCCAAATTATCTTTGGCACGGACAGGCAACATATGAAAGTTTTTCCTTTTTATTTTTTTACTACACGTAGTAACATTTTAATTGAGAAATACCCCACAGTCCCTTCCGATGGCCTAATGCCCTCATGTTACTGCTCCTCCTGTTATGCAAACAACTGCAGTTATTGTGCTCCGCTTTGCTCTGCTCCCCTCCCCCTCTTTCCTCTCTAGAGATCCTCCACCCCCTCCACATCTTCCCTGAACTCCTCCCCCCACCCCCACACAAACAAAAAGTGCACACATGAAAGCTCCAAGTCAGGCGCACTTGAATAAAGTTAAATGCTTTTCCATAAAACGTGTGCAAGCTGCTAACGGCATATTTTATGTAATGAGGAGAAATGAACATGCACTGCACAGACCATTCCCTATTTAGCAACCACAGCCACTGACCTTCCCACCCCTTCCCTCTTGTTCTCTCACTTTACAGGGCGTTACTGATTTCCTGTTCTTTTTTTTCTGCTGCATGTCCTCGTTGGCCCTCATCTCCTTCTCGTCCAGCAGGCGGGGAGCTTGGAATTCACCTTCCTTCCGGATAAGCTACAGGGCCAGAAAAAGTCAATTATTTCCTAATTTTAGATCTGTTAGCTTTAAAACTAAAAACAGAATGTCCGAACATTACTAAAATGAAGGGATAAATGGAAACATCTATCATGTGCATTTTCTTGCCACGGCCAGTTGAAAAATCCAGTGTTAAATAGAGTGGGCTTGTACGTTTTGAATCTTTATTTTAATTAAAAAAAACACAATTTAAAACTAAAAAAATAGAATAATTTCTGATGAAGGATGAATACCATCCATATACTGTGGTGGTTAGCGCAAGGTTTTGTCCATATGAAACAAAAAAACAAGAATTGTTTGTGGAGGAATAGGGACAATGGGATAAGTGGAGCCTCTAAAACTGTAACTATTTGCCCGTACATATAATCTGGCAGGGATTATGTCAATATATTTTTCTTCCTTAAAAGCACATATGACGTTCACACCCTTCACAATAGTACAATTCTGTACAGCCCCCATTCCCACTCTGCATTTCCCAAGTGGGTCCTAACCAGGGGTGGACAGCTCATTCCAGATGGGAGGATCATGTGGCTCTGGGGACCACGGTCAGGTCCATCTCTCTGCGGTGGTCCATGGCCAAGTGGAGCCATCATTTTTTTGGGTGGAGCAGCCATGGAGCTGGCCTGCATCAGGGCCATACTGGAAAGGACAGCCTCGCAGCCAAGCAGCCCCGCCTGCAAAGAAAAGTAATAAAAAAACAACACTTTTACCAACTACATCAAACTTTTAAAACCAATTTGAAATTATCTGAATCTCAGACAATCTTGCCAGTCACATGGCATCAACGACAACATCCTGAGTGACACAAGACTTTCAAGTAAAGTTATTTGTAACCACTTTGGTGTTTTCAAAACAAACCCATTTCATATGGTCGCGGACTGAGCTGCTGGGCAGATGTGACATTGCTGTGGTGTATGTGAGCGCAGGGACAGGGGTGGGGACAAGGTCATCCAGAGATCCGTCAGTCAGGATGGTCGGGCTGGTGGGAAGCCACACCCACCTCACTCATCTAGCATTAAAACTGAAGAAGAGGAGGATGCGGATGAAACAGACAAACATTAAATTACAGCGTCACTTGCTGCCTTTATTGTTACATATTCCATTAACTCTAGTATCATCATATATTAAAACACACAAATATTCTTCATTTGTACAAATAACTATTCTAATAGCGTTAGCTTGGTTTTTGTCTGTAGAAATTAGTCGGTATACTTACCACTACAAACATTTTACTGATGGCTGACACACAGAAACAAAATACATTGAATAAAAATAAAGAACACAATAGCCAAATGACGTCCTTCCAATAAATGTATCTTGTTACGTATAGAAAATCGCCTGCCTGTTCATCACACTAGACGTGACGGTAATTTGAATTCGATTTAAACTATGATTTTTATCTGGTATTCTCAAATGTTTAAGAAAAAAATTCAAGGGGAAATCTGCTACATCATTTACACAACACGTGAGACTTGTGCTCTGCGTAATACAAGAAACTGAACATACTCCTAATACAACTACAACAGCTAATTCATTTTAAGTATGTATTTTCTCATCTGTGTGTTCATGCCATTGATAGTTGAATGATGTGAGAGTTTACAGATTTATGTTATTTAGGATGCATGCGTTAGCGTCCACTGATTTAAGACGGTTACTGGGGACATAAAAAACATCCAGTCCTACATTGTTCTACACCTAATGCTTGCTTGTGTAAGACAAACCTCTGAGCTGTGTGAAATTATTTTTGCTAAATGATAACATGTTGCTGTATCATTACTGAGTTTTGTGGACCTCACCAATAATTTTAAGTGGTAGCTCTGGTCCACAATTGTAAAAACTCAATACGCTCAATCTAAAAGGAAAATTACTTCTCATAAATGTGGACCCGGTTTGGATTCAAAAGCTGTTATCGATACCAAACACTAACCATTAAATCCAACCACAAAGTACAACAGGATATTCTGGGTAATATGATAGGTTCATTTGTAGTCTATATAAACAACTTTTCACTTCTGTAACAACTATACACTAGGATTTGCATAACGTGAGGGAAACAAGTTGAAATGTGAAGAGGGGACTACATAGAAATGTAGATTACAATTACAATGTAGATTGTAGGAAATAATCCGGAGCAAAAATCTCTACAAAACAGCCAGACAACTACAGAATAATGTCATATTTTTAGTGTGATTGGTAAAACAACAAGTATTTTTTAAGCAGTCATAATATTCAACTTATAGTGCATACGTTTAAAAAAACAAAACAAGTTTCCTAAAACACATAAACATACACAAAAAGCACAAAAAAATACACCAGTATTCAGTTATACACTAAAAGCCTAGTTATAATTTATTGTCAGATGAGAGTCTGGCTCTGAGGCAAATAAATGCAATAAAATCAAGCACCTTGTACACTGCAACTGTAAAAGCGAAACCTCCTGTATCTACATCTTCTGTTTGGATAAATCAGATCTAAGTATAAGCCTACGTTGCACATCTATGAGTGGTTGTATCTTTGAATTCAGCGTTACGGTTGAAGGAGAACACAAAAGCTTTAACTGTAAACATGTACACACAGACAACAAAGCAAGCAAACCTCTAGCTCTGTCCCCCTGCTAATTATATTCCACTGAATCGTGCCTTTTGCATTTTCACATGGGTTTTTAACAACCATGTTACGAGGAGGCCATGAATTCACTCGAAGAAGCATTATTGTACCTTGTGGTGGGTTTCTGCAGATGTAATGTTACGCGTTTTCTTGCCCCCCCTCAAAACGGCGGCACAAGTTAGCTCTTACGCTTGTGCACCATCATAAAAGGTTATCGGCAGCCAGATGGAGGCACTGGTACACTTGAAGTGCTTTCGCCATTGGCGTTGGTGAGCCAGCTAACGTCGCTAGGAAAACAGACAGCTATCGTAACGCTAACATCGGCTAACGCTAATTAAAAGGACTACACGGCTCTGTGCTATAGTTTGATTCGTGTGTTAGTAGTCGGCAGAGGAAACGCTACAACCCTAACATACTATTGTTTGTAAAGATGAATATGACATTTGCCTGCTCCTGGTGAGCTGGCCTCCGCACTAACGCTACCTCCAAACCTACAACGTTAGTTTTGCTGATGTTGAACAAGCTGGCTAACAGCAGCTAGCCGAGCAGCTAGCCGCTCGCTGGCGCCCTCGCCCACTTTAATGTTAATAAAACATTTCTGAGCCCACCTGGTTATCGGTTTCATACCGTAGCTTCACGAGAGGATCGATTAATCTTAACACCATGATAACAGTATGGTACACAAGCTCAACTGGTTGAAGACTAGATTGAGCGATAGAGACATTCGTGATGGCCGTCGTTGTGAGAGCCTCCCCCCTCCCGACGACCGAGCTAGCGTTTGTTAGCGAGCTAGCAGTGGCTAACATTGACGCTGTAATATTTTGGTAAATCCCTTTGCTGCCAATTTCCGAGCATGCATATCTAGAAACGAAACAGCAGACCACTGGATGCACAGTCGAAATTCATCGAGCGTCGAGGGGAAAAACGAGGAGATATTTATGTACCTTTCAGCTTCAGTCGGCCGACGTTTTCAAGACCGTCTAGTTTACAAACACAGGAAACGCCACAGGATGTAACCCACTCCCCCACACAGCAGCACAGCCTCCTCAAGCGAAGAGAAAAGGGTCATCTTCTTCTATCAGCTCCCCGTGAACCGAGAGCGGTGCTTCAAAGTGCTCATAAATATAAATATTATATATATAGTATATATATATGTGTGTGTTTGTTAATCCGGTATTTTTCGCTTATTTCCCGCCTACTTCCACGTGTATATCGATATTGGTGTGGTTGTTTGTTGGGTTGAAAGCTGGCCCTCCTCCTCTCAGTTTGTAGCAGATTCAGACGACGACTGAGAAGACGCAGATAAAAAGGAAGGGAGGTGGACACTAACAAATGCTGAACACACAGGGGACGAGACATTACGGGTGGTGGGCTCAACCCGATTTTTTTCCCCCTTTTGCCCTGTTTCTGAAGGCTGCCCGTGGGGGCAAAACCAATACTAATGTGATTATTAGATATGACAGCGGTTATTGCATTATTATTATTAATATTACATTTGCCAGTTTATTATTATTATGGGAGGTCGCTCCTCCCAAAGCTTGGCCTTTTAATTTGGCAATGGCGTCATGTGTCAATTGGTTTCAGTAGTGATTTATGTTTAGCGAGTTTACTCTGCACTTTGCTCCTTTATGGTTGGTTTGCATTCCTTACTGAAACTAACAAAAATACACGTCCTCTTTCTTAATTTGTTCCCCATCAATCTTAACATAGGTGGTCCGTAGTCGTCTGTTCTTCATACACATTACTATGGAAAACATCACGGAGCTTATATTAAAACGTTAGACACTGTACGGCTCCTTATCGACGGCTGTGTTTTTATGCGTTGAGTTACATTAAAAATGGTTCACCCAGTATTTGAACAAAACACTTCGGATATGTTGTTTTTTTTCTTGGAAAGGATAATAACAGATTAATTTCAAGACTCATAAAATCTTTTTAGGAGGACTTAACATTAGAGACATTGATTTCATGTTGTCAGCACACTGTTGGCGTTAGGGCGAGCTGGACAACACAAATTAAGAGTTAGCTCATTCCCTTTTTTCAGATGAATGGATGCTTCTGTGCTCTTTTTACTCCAAACATCAATTTTTAGGGGAACAGAAAAGAAGGAGAAAGAAAAAATTGGATTCATTGCTGGTCAGTCAGATAGGAAAAAGAATGTCAGTCTATTCTTAATTTTTCTTTTTTTCATATGCTAAGGGCAATTAAAATCAATACATTCGAAGCTGATAAGTCTGTGCAAGGGGATGGAGAGGGTAATTTAATTGATATTTTACTTATGAGGTGGGTTGTATTAATGAAAATTTAGGCTGTAAGTAAAATTAATTAATACAGTTTTTTAATGTAGTGTTACATAGGGATACTATTAAAAGTGCCCAGGGGTAATACATCAATACAATGGAAGAAGAAGAAGGGAAGAAGAAAGAAGAGATATACTTTATTGATCCCCTAGGGGGAAATTGTTTTTTCACTCTTTTTTTTTTATTAACCACACAGGCTGGAAATGCACACTTCATGCACATTTGTGGGACATGCAAAGCGGGTGGAAGGTGATGGTGGTAGTGGATGGGGCTGGCCGCGTTACCAGCGCCATGGGAGCAGGTTCGGGGTTAGGTTGCCTTGCTCAAGGGCCTCGCAGTGCACAGGAAGGTGAAACTTGGCACCTCTCCAGCTACCAGTTCCCACACTCCATTATTTTTGTGGTCTGGTTGGGACTTGAACCGGCGACCCTCCGGTCGACTGAGCTACTGCTGCCAATGTCATGCCTATTGATATGGACACATTATATAACATTACATAATACTATTATTGTCAGTTTGAAAATAATATGACATACATTATTTTTATTGTAAAAGGAAATATGTTTTCTCATGTTGTTTGTAAATAAGTAATGGAATTAGGTGACTTAATGGATGAGAAATGTGCTTTTCCTTAAGTTTAGTTAATTAAAGGTATACTGTTTCTTTAAGTTAAGTATAAAACTGGACAGATGTGTTGTTCCTCAGGTTGGCCTGGAGATACCAACGAAACCTTGAACTCAAAACACTAATTCTTAAAGCCACTCTTTGACCCCGTAGAGTGTTCAGTCTGCTTCACTGCAACAGCCCCGGGGGTTAAAGGAAACAATGCCTTGCTCAAGGACTCATGAGCAGACTAGATGCTTGCCAACACTGGAGCATCAAGCAAAGTCTTCAAACTAAAACCATCATCTCACTCCACCATTATATTAGGAGGAAAATGTAATGCAAAGACCCAGTACACTACGCACAGAATTCCAATTAATGCAAAATCTCACAAAGGTACTATGGAACTAAAACATTGTAATGTTGTATATATGATTCACATTTGCTTTAAGAGCATCAAAATGCCTAAATCAGACCTCTTTTTAAATAAATTAATTGTATATCTGCTCATTTTTTTCCTTTTTTAAAAACACTTTTTGCTTGCTTTTGTTGCATTTTGTGTATGATAGGTTCTATATAGTACAGTATAGTATAGTATAGTATATAGTTTATTAGTAGTAGTAGTAGTAGTAGTAGTAGTTGTAACAGTAGTAGTGGTAGTAGTAGTAACAATAGAAGTAGTAGTAGTAATATTATAATTATTATAAAAGTGCATAAACACTTACAATATTTGTTTAAATGAACCTAAACAAATAAGAGCAGTCTACATCCCTGCACTGTCACGGCTTCCTGGTGAACGAGTTGCTGCTCTGTCACTCGAGCTGTTTGCTTGTGCTTTTTCTTTTGAACCATGAGGGAGTATCGCCTGTCGTTCTCAGGAATTTCGATGGGAGGTCTACTATGCAAGCGCGCACACAAACGCACCAGGTAGGGGAGTAATGCAACACTACCCAAGGTCATTGGTGTATGAAATCACGTGACCCAGCTCTTCCACCCCCATGCCACCTTTCTGTTCACTCCACCTCTGTCGCCTCCACACCGGGCGGTGACGCAGCGGCAGCAGCAGGTGTCAGGTGTCTCGGGGGAAGTTCGCACAGGTAAGACAAAACGCAAAGCAAGGACGTGGAAACGTATGTAAATGAGTATATCTAGGGCTGTTTTTAATATACCAAAAGTATGTAGTATTAACAGTCGAATGAGCCTGTGAGTGTTTTAGGTTTATACGTTTTATTTTTTTTATAATAACGCACGTGTACGTGTCTCAAGGAGCTCACTGTCTTCCGAGATAATCGATACCAAACCAGTCCAGCTGCTCAGTTTGTATTGTAGGCTCAATGTATCACTTCAGTCTGAATACAGCTTACATTTAACGAAGGTATATGAACGTATTTAACTATATTTACTGTATGTAACTATAATTTGGGCTGGGTGTTTTGTTGTCAGTCAAGTCACAGTCGTCCTCTACCAAGAGCTTAAAGTGTTACACACCTCAAATTAAAGTTCTTCATATAACATGTCTGCCTCTGATCAGCATAACTCATGTCTGTTTATTACATGGCTCCAGTGCTGTGTGTTCTGCTCAAACTCAGTTTTGTCCATATAAAAACAACAGGTTTGTTTGGTGCTTTTGTTTTTTAATAATAATTGCTTCTTAGGTAATTAATGTGAAAACTCCTCTTTACCAATGAGTCACACTGTATCTGACTGTTGTGGTTACTTGCTGTTAAGGAAAAGTTGGCTCAAAACTGGGGGTAAAGGTCAGTACCCACCTTTCACTGATAAGGAGTGATGGAGGGGAAGCTAAATGTGGGTGTTTAGATTATCCGATTTCAAAAGCTCATATATCAGATAGCCTGCAGTTGTTTCAAGGCTCTACTTGCTGTGTACCTGCTGAAATAGCGTCACCTTTGTAAAGGCTTTATTTACAGTCTGTAATACATAATACAACAAATGACATCATACCAGGATGTGTGGAGCTGTCAAAAATGAAGGCAAAAAGATTACAGTTGGAAAAACCAGTCGGCTACTATGTGATCAACTAATTATAAATGCAAATCTATTCATTATCTGTTGGACTGGCAAAGATTTTTGCACTTGTGGTATATGGGAACTTGAACGTGTTTAACTTTCAAATAATGGTTTGTACAATTTGGATTTGAATAGCTGACAGTGTTCTGCAGAGTTACAATAGTTATATTGGCTTCTTATACAAGACTGTGAGGACAATTTGGTTTCTTTACTCTCGGCTAACGCAAAAGAATGTAAAACATTACGATTGTTTTTTCCCATACAGGAAAAACATGCTGTGACCCCGCCCTGTCCTGTATTTAAATCAGCAACATTTTCTACCGTGTATTGATTTCCACATGACACCTCTGTTCAGCTCAGCTATTCTCTTAGTGCACACGGTGAGGAACACTTTTTGTTTGATTCTCGACCCCCGTCGTTTCTGCCTTTCCTGTTTTCTCCAGTTGCTCTTGCTTCCTTCAACAGTCTGAGGATATGCAAAAAAGGTGGCTTAGCGACTCTAAACTCAGTCCACCTGTATTATCCCTGCCACGGACTGGTGATCTGACCGGGGTGTGTCCCTGCCTTTCCATCCAGCAAGCCGGGAATAATAGGGTAGAACTGAGAAGTTAATGAGAGCGCCTTTTCAAATCAAATTCGTTTTTGTGCTTAAACCCAGATACCCATTCGACTGTAACTGTAAACAGCACAGCGTACAGCTAATCAGTACACACGGTAAACTGACATGCCCGTCAAAACCTGTAGTTACAGTAAACCCTCAAGCTATTCAGATGTAAGAAACCTAATTAAAGTACTTGAGCAGTGGACCCTTTATATCACCGTGTTGTGTCTAACTTGGGTTTTGTCTTTAGTTAATCTTTGCCCATCAAGAAACACAAACACTGACAGAAAATGAAATGAATTACACACAATTATATGTAATTCCATATTGTTAATATGTAATACATACAATGACATATTGTATTCATCTAAAAAGGTATGTCTGTAGGTAATGTCAGAAGTATTGTTGCGTTTGTCTGTGCTTGAGTGTTTAGAATCAGGGCTATGTTGAAATTCAGTTCAGTCCAAAGTCCTCACAGCAGTATCGTTTTGCCTCTGAGTGGTGATGTAAGAGGTGCACCTGAGTGAATAGGCCCAGACAGGGAGAGAAATGACTATGATTGAGTGTGTCAGCTGTGCGCAGTGCTGATTTAAACACATACTGTCTGAGCACTAAAAGAGGGATTCATGGCCTGACATCTCTCCAGACACAGACACCGTATCAGAGGCTCGTCATCTGTCCGTCGCACTTTATTTAAGTGTGGGGTTCGTTCCAGTGAAGTTGAGGAAAGATTGCGAGTGTTGCGCAGTGCGGTTGTGGTATACTGCTTTACTCTTATCGTACCCGTACGTCGCCCGTCGGCGAGCTATCCTCTCATAATGACAACGTGCTCACGCTCAGCTTAGCTGTTTGTTAAAAAGTGGGTTTCTATCTTGCAATCGAGTGGCACGAGACGGAGTGCAAGTTTGAACACGTCGACTTGTTTGCATGAAAAACTGTAGGAGCAAATACATATATGTGCGAGCACTCTTTGGTATGTATGTCAGGTAATGGGGGAGTGACAAGACATAAAGTGATGGAGAGCATCTTGTAAATCGGTGATCTCACACAGCAGATAGCTCCTCTACGTGCACAAACTTGGACTCTGGAACCAACACTCAGAAGAGTCGGTACTCCTCAAGCTAGATTTTTTGCCTTGTTTAGTCATGTAAAACAGGGCTGTTTTGTCTATGTAAATCTTGTCTGATTTTGTCTGATCCATGCAATACTTTCACTGTGGTGCTGTCAGTCGCCTAAAACACACAGCGTAAAGATGGTAGACTGGTGAACAAATATAGATGAAAGGATGGAGTAGAGCTTTTGATTTTCTAGCAAGAGGAAGTAAGATTTTTTTCAGGACAGTGAGACCTTGGGCAATGGCATGATTGAAGTTCATAATAGATGTAGTGACGAACATGGCTTATGGCGGTTGTGTTTGTATTTCAGGTATTCAGATAGCTGCCAGAGATGGAAAGCGGTCCATTCAGTCGACGGTCCTGGGCGACACAGTCCTTGCGTGTCACCGCGAAGGAGCTGTCCCTAAGTGGCCGAGGGAAAAACAATGCCATTGCTGAACGCTTCTCCAGGTGAGTAACACCCGGTCTTCAGTAACAATTGCTGTTAAACT